GAAGCTGTTTGTTTTTTCGTGGGAAGCCTGTTTTATGAGTACTACTTACTATGGGTTTACATTGCAGGAGCATTCGTTATATAGACCAGCTGTTGAAAATCTTATATTGGATGTACGCGCTTACGGATTAATCGATAACTGGTTTCATGCAAATTTTTATGATATGGTAATGGCCGATAGAGTTTCATTTACAGATAAAAGCAATCCGAAGGTGTATGGAGGCTCATTAAAAATTGAAGACTTGCAATGGGTGTGGATTACATATATATTACTAATAATTTTAAGTATTTGGATTTTTACTGTAGAATTTTTTATCGCACATTTTATTATTAATAAATAAAGGAAACTTATAAAATTTCCAAATGAATTACCGCTTTATACAGCTTCTTATAACGTAGAAGACTACTGCTTAATGATACCATTGCCAAGCTATAGACGAACGTGTGATATTTTTACGGATATTATTCCGTGGGGTCTCAGAGCTATTACACCAATTATAGTATTAATATTTGCTTTACTGTTTCTGTGCAGTATGCATCAAAGTCGAAACAAGATTTCTTACTTGGATATATTTTTGAATGATAAAAGTATTAGAGGTGTACTTGGACAATCATTTACGCTGCCCAGTAAATTGAATTTAAAAACCAAATTAATTTGTGCACTTCTTTGCTATTACAGTTTAATTGTTAATACAGGCTATCAAGCAAATTTACAATCGCTTCTTACACATCCACCAAAAGACACCACAATGAAAACTTTCAAGGACTTGGAAGATGTAGACTTTAAGATTTCTTTATCACGTTTGGAGTTCAATATGTTTACATTAAACAGAACAATTAAAAAATTATTAAGATTTGAGGAAACTTACCGAGACTTTGTGAAATTGCGTGAATCAATGAATACGAGTTATGCCTACCCAGTATCTCGTACACGTTGGCAGGTGTTTCATGAAAGACAAATGACTTACGAAAACAACGTTTTTTACTATGCCGATAATATGTGTTTCCTCAAATTCATTGATCTTAGTATACCGGCTCGTAAATATTTACCCTATCGTAATGTGTTTGCTGAGCATATACAGCGCTTACACGCAAGCGGGTTAATAAATTATTGGACATCCTTTAATTTTTACGATATGGTTAGGCAAAATCTTACAAGTTTAGAGGATATAAGTGAACCAGTAAAATGGGCTCAACCATTAGGTTGGTATGATTTGATAAAGGTATGAATTTTGTATATTTTTGGTGCTGTCATCTCTTTGTTTGGATATACTTTGAAAAAATAACTTGGATATACATGCAGAAGCGTAAATTTAATCGGAAATTATACACTAAAGCGTATAGTAATAAAAAGAACTCATTTATGTATTTACCATAGTTATATCTTACATAATAAAATAAATGCAAATACATATTTTTACATATTATTATTCTTTATGCATTTATAAGAGTAGAAATTGGTGGATGAAGATTTGATTTTCACAAGTTTTATTTAAATTCTTTTTATTATTATTATTTTGGTATATTAAAAGATTGGTTCCGTGAGTGCTGGCTGTAGCGAACTAGTGACTTATCCAAAGAATTAAAAAATTTATTAATAACACACGTACTTTAAACTATTTTTTTCGTATATAAGAAGTTTGAAAAATTATTTCAATAAAGCAGAAAATACATATTATAAGGACTCTGGTCATCTAGAAATGTTCCTATCATCTTAATTTATCATTAAACGTTTTTAAAATTCGCTTCACAGCAGCAGATAGTGATCAATTTGAGTCCAAATCTTTGCAGGAGTACAGAATAACAAAAGTCCAACTAATTGATGTAAGGTCCATCATCAGACCTTTTGTTATGATCATGACAACAATAGAAAGGCAGCAGAAAGAAAAATCTTATATAATGACAGAATATTAAAATCAAGTGTCAGTAACCGCAATTCATGTATGAGATTGGAGAATGGACGGACAAAGTGGAAATGTGTGAAGAATATTTTCACCCGACTATGTAATTCGGATAAGTAACCACAAATTATTATTTGTTAATCTTTTTTATTACTATTATTTTCTATGATACTAGTATTTTGTCATAAACAAATGTCAACATTTCACACATCTTTCACAATTTTTCTATTTTCAAATACACTCCTCTTTCAGCATCACGAAAGTGTTTATTCAATTTATATTTCATAGGTATTTGTGTTTCTTTGGTGGGAGAAAATCGATAGTTTTTAAGCATCATATATAAACCAATTATAATTTGCATATAGGCAAATCTGTAACCAATACAAGCTCGTGGTCCTTTGCCGAAACCCATATATGCCATTGGATGACGTTTTGCAATTTCTTCTGTCGAAAATCGGTTGGGATCGAAACGTTGAGGACTTGGATATATGTCTGGATCATAATGTAAGGCATCAATTGGCAAAACAACTGTAGTTCCTTTTTCAATGACATGATTTGTATTTGGTAAAATATAGTCCTTGGCAGCTTTGCGTACGATAACCGGTACAACTGAATACTTACGCGTTGTTTCTGATAAAAAAATATAAAAATATATTAGTTTCAACATTCAGTTTAGTACATGTAGTGTTTATGGTACATACCGTACATACAGTGAAGTAAATACTTCATTTCTTTAACTGCTTCATAAGTAAGTTTGCCATCATGCTGAGCCATAACTTCATTCATTTCCGTCCGAGCCTTCTCTTGAATGTCTGGATTTAAAGCCAGTTCGTATAAACAAAAACTCATTACACTTGAACTTGTTTCAAAACCTGCTACAAAAAGTAAAAATGTCTGTGCAGTCATCTCTTCCATTGTTAAAGCATCTGATGTCTCTGATTTTCTTAACTCCATTAATATATTAAGATAATCTTTTCGTTGTATACCCGTTTTCTCTCGATATTCTACAGTGTCACGAACAATTTGAAAGAAGAAGTCTGAAATTTCTTTTGGAAACAGTTTCATTCTGAATTTTCGTGCTAAATTTGGAAAAGTGTTCATAAGCGAAACCACAGGCATACTGTGTTTAAAATAACCAATTTTTTCACAAGTTTTACTAAATTTACTTGTTGGTTCCTTTAATCTATTGCACTCTAAACCGAAAGCAACACTTCCAATAACATCTGTTGTATAGCGTGACATAAGATCTGCAAAATCAATTCCTATATTCATATCTGCAGACTTTCGCTCATCTTCCAAAACATTGATTAATTGATCAGCTACATCGACGACAGTGGTAAACATACTTTTTATTTTTCCTGATGTGAAAGTTGGAGTTAATTTTGTTCGTAAATTTTTCCAGTGCTCTCCTTCTAAAAACAGCATGACAGCAGAAATTGGATCATCTTTTTTATTATAATACGTTCCCCGACCTGGAAAATTTGCAAAATCCTTAACACATATATGCTGAATTAAATCGGGATCGAGCAGTATAATCGTTTTGCTGAGAAAGAAATAAAATCCAACGAATCGTGCTTTTTTCTTGAATTTCATATAATATTCTTGGACAATATCATACAATGTTTTGGTGCGATAAAATTTCTTAAGATTTCCGAAAAAAAACACTGGTTTATCGTGCAATACACCGCGGTCCTTAAAATATGAATATTGCTTCCGTAACGCCAAATAAATAAGCAGGAAGCTGCCGCATATAAAACACACAAGAATTTTTATTAAGTCTATCATGGTGTCTCTACTGTTCGTTATAGGTTGTAAACTTGACTGTCACTATTTATATGTACAACACCAATTAAATAGTTTTATTTTTAATAACTTATTGTATTAAAATAAAATAAAAACGTAATTTACATAGCTTTTTAATTGTCTTAAAATGAAAATTACTTCAACGTCAATTAAATAATTGCTTTTATTGTAGTCTTTTTTAAATCATTGCTTATTTAATTACATATTATTGGGACTTTGTCCTCTACTATCCTAACTCCTATTATTTTAATTGATACTTAGTTGTTTTAACATCCGTTTCACATCAGCAGATATTGATATATTTGAGTCCAATTTGGTTCAGATAAATATTTAGCTCATTATATCTTCATAGAAACCTAACAGAAGTTTAGCGTTATATCATTTATTGCTACTCTTCATATCATTCTTTTTTTCACAATATACGTCTTCGAAGTCAGTCCTATTGTTATGATCATAATAACAACACGAACGTGAAGTTGAAAGGCGTACAGAAAAATCCTTTCGTTCACTTTCATATCTGCTTATTACTCTCGAGGCCACATCCGATATGCTTTAAGCTTACTTTCTGGAAATCTTCATGAACCGTAATCGGAACAGTTTCATGCCATAACACGATTGGTATAACTGAAATCACTGGTATAATCTGAAATATGCTAAAAATTCAATGTAAATATAAAGTTAAATAACTTTGAAAAGAAAAGAAAGAATAATTGATACGCAATATAAACTTTCGTATGAAGAGTATTAATAATTCGGCAAAGCTGAAGTTACATCTATTTTCATGTTTTAATTCAATTAAGTATATGCTATTTTTTCTTGAAATTGCTGTCAGAAAAGCTCTACTCATTTAAAAATATTATACAAAATGGGTTTATTTTTAAGTAGTAAGTTTTTATTGTTTTGTTTAAAAAAGTTTAGATAAATGTGTTAAGTTCTAAATAATAACAATTTAACTAGATGAATCGTCATCGTCATCGTCATCTGTGCGAATCGTAGAGTAACATTGGCATGACTTTCACAGTATTACGTTCCTAGATTAGGTTTTATACATTAGAAAGAATATGCAACAAATAATGCCTCTACAAACAGTATAGTATAGAAATTTAACAATTAAAAATAAATATATATAATTAATTAATTAAATTATCATTTCGTTCTAATATAAACACAGCAAGAGTTTTTATTAATAACATATAACTTTCACAACAAATTAACAAAACTCCAGGAAAATGTGCGGACATAAAAGTAATACCTCTCTGCTTAACGCTAAAGCACAAATCATTCGCATTACTCCCGACGTTCTCCAACCTAGTACCCTGCTATATGACTTGAAATCCATAATTCAGTACAACTCTCCTCAATATCGTTCATTATACTTCAAATCCTTGCATTTAACTATTTCCATCATTCCTCTCCATAACCGTCATTTTCACGATTCCAGTTATAGAGCCTATAAGTAACCTGCCAAACGTGCAGGTTATATTGCCAGACAGATGAAGACAGATGCTTTCTTCGATTGCTAATGTGTTAAAGAAAGTAGGACTAGAGGACATCAATATCGAAAATAGTGTTGCACAGATCAGGAGACAAGTACAACATTAGAACAAAATTTTACAATACATTGAAAGTATGCCTTAAAACAAGAGACAAGACTTTATCATAAGTTGAAATAAGACGAAAAACAATTTGGAGATCCTATCTTCAAGTAATGTTGCGATAATTCTAGTGTAATATAGACTCAAGTAATGAGACGATTTTTTAGTCCATTTAAATCAGACATACCACTAATGTGTTAATGATTGACGATACATTAGGCTATTTTCAAAGACAAATCCACAATATAATGTGATTTTAAAAAGATTGTCCATAATACAATAAATTAACAAAATGAAGTTTATAATTTTATCATTGTTTAAAAACAAAATTTAGAAATATTTCACTATTTGAGGAAAGAACTGTTCTCCATGTCAATGGTTTCATTTTATAATTACAATCTTTAACATCACTTTTTCTTAAAGACTGTAATTACTTCAAAATACTTCGTAAATCTTCAGTGGAATGTATCAATACACTTTTGTTTTCGTATGAGTTATTGAAAGCCTCATCTACTTTTAGTGACGTTGGAGACACATATCTTAAATTATTGAATGTGTTAACTACCTGTAATAAGACGAGGTCACATGGAAAGTAATTTCATATATCTCTTATATATATATAACTTTTTGACATATAGATTATACAAGTGTCTTTATAGATTATATGAAGTCTTATAGAGATCCTGCATGAAAAATTAACTTCATTCATTCGTGTACTTACTTTTTTGAACAACTGCTTAGATTTATATTTAATTTATTTATTTTCATTTATAAAATTATATTTAACGCACTCATTTGATTACCTCAATTACTGTGCATCTAAGTTGACAACATTTGTAGATATATTGTTATATCGATCGATGTCATTTAGGTTATAGATATATATATATATACATACATAATTTTTTCAAAAGAGTAGTAAAGGTATTG